AGACTCCACCCAAGGACACAGAGCCCCTGGGCTGTGAGCAGAGCATAGTAGAAGGCTTTCAGAAGTACACGTGAGGATCTGTCTTGGCCAAGCTTGCCAAACCGACCCCCTTCCCCACAGAGAACACAGCAGGGCGTGTCAGCAGCTCCTCCCCGCGGCTCTCTGGACGATCAGGTTGTCGTACCGACTTCCCCAGTAACTCACCTTGAACCAGTCTGCATAGGATGGGAACACAAAGGGGCCTTCCAGAGTGGCCTGGCGCACAATCAGGAATGCAGTGACCATGCTGTCTAGGTGGTAGCTCTCAAAGGCACGGGCCATCAAACAGGCCACCCAGTCTGTGAGATTATGACAGAGTCAGAAGGCAGGTGAGGGCAGCTCAGCTCACTCACAAAACCGAGCTTTGCTGGTGATTGAGTATCTGAGCTGGGAGGATGTACCAAACAGCTTCAGATGGCAACATCACCACATGCTGGATACAAACTGACTAAGACTCACAGAAGTAGCACTAACATCAACAGACAGACAGACAGGTGTCTATGAAGTTCTAAGTGAGTGAAGGGCATCACTAATGTGCTCAGCCTCTACTGTTTGGGATTCAACTGATATCAGCATGCAAATCACACACACATGTGCTCAAAGTCTCATGGGGCGCCCATGAGCATATACCTTTAACCAGGTGCTGTGCCTCAGGAAAGCAAACGACCAGTGTAGACAAACAGGACAGCACATGTTGCCAGTTCACTTCCTGTGTCTCCAGGACTTCCTGCAAACGGCCAACTGACTCCTCTGGACCTAGTGTCACAAAAACCTGCAATAACAGCCCCAGCTCCTTTTAACACTAAAGTAAACCACTGCCAGGCAGGCACCGGCTTTCAACACCAAAGTAAACCACTGCCAGACAGGCACCGGCCCCTCGGTTCCCTCTAGCCCATCCGCTCCAACGCCAGAGAAGTGCAGACTCGGTGAGGAGCCTCAGTGGCTGCCATGTCCTCCTCCCTGCAGTGGTCGGCACTGGCTGGAAGAATTCCCATTCTGAGAAGGAAGGGCTCTGCCCAAGGACAGACAAGGTCAGCCTCGTGATCCTGAACCGCCATCCTGATGAGGACAGTTGTGTCCTGCTGGAGACGCCTGAACCTCCTCCCACGGGCAGTGTCTACAGGGGTCGGTCTGATCCGGTCTGTAACCTTGAATCCCCAGGCCTGGATGGGATCCCACACTCACCCTGCAGTACAGAGCGGTGAGCAGATGACAAGTCTTTGCAAAGCTCCACTCTTTCTGCATCTGAATAGCGTCAGACACTGCGGAGGACACACAACAAAACTTCAAGTCAGAGTGTACTAAGAGACAAAAACAAGCCAACAAAACCTCCTGTTTTAAAAGCTTCAATGTGAAAAGACAATCCTGCCGTAATGTTTTCCCCCAAGTATTGCTGACACTATCATTTCCCTTTGTTAACGGAGGTCATCCCTCAGGATCAGAGGAATTTTGGTTCCAGACAACGGGGATGACAGACTCTGGGATAAAGTGTCATTATCTCAAGGGGTCTCAGAGTGCTCTATTTAACGCACAGGGATCAGAGCTCAGGCACCTGCAGAGGACAGAGCCTCAAACCTACCTAAGGGTCACCGGTATCTCTGTCAGAGTTCACCCAAAGGATAGGGGAAGAGACCCCAGACTGGGCAGGGGACTGCAGCCACAGCACGGGTCCTACCTTTCAGCACCGCCTTGTGAGTCAGAATCTGAGTCAGAGTGTGACTGAAGAACCTCTTCAGAGAATCCACTGCCGTCGTACCACAGCATATATGTCCAGAGTAGACACTAAACCTGCAAACAGCATAAGGGGGTGCACGAGGAGACAACTGGGAAGCTCTTTCTCCACCAGGCCACAAAGCCACAGGTATCAAACGAATCCAGGGCTATGTGGTTGCAACCAGAGAGAAGTGAATTCTCGGAGGGTGCCAGAGGCCAGAAGCAGGCAGGAGTCTAGATACAGATTAGGAAGGCTGGAGCTGCATACCAAAGCTGAAGACAGACACATGGGAGGGAGGTCACACCGGGAAAACAGCAGAAAAGAGGGGCTGAAGGACCCCAAGCCCTGGAAATCTGCAGGCTGAACAGGAGCCTACAATAAGAAGGAATCTCTCACCCCCTCTCAGAGAAGGTTGGACAGACCTCCCGTGCTTTAGCAAGAATCTTCCCCAAAGTCACCGAACAGCAGACAGTACCCAGCCGGCCACTGCTACCATCGAGGTGTTTAAGTGGCGAAGCAAGAACACATTTCACATGAGCAGCAGGCCTCACAGACGTACCAGCCCCTCACTGTCTGGGAAGCCGACGTCACCTGTGGATCAGCATCCAGAGTATCAAGTGCAACTGATAACAGAACACAGGACAGAGACCAGGGATCAGCCCCACGAACAGCCTGTCCTGTGTCACCCCGAGGTGACAACACACCCATTTCTGTCATAGGCCTCTGAAGGTCCAGAATCTCCTAGGATGACACCAGGTCCACCAAGGCATCTAAGTGCCATCAGACACTGGGATCTGCAAGCTTTCAAGTGAAGGAGAACACACAGAATGTAAATGCTGTATTGAGCTGGTGACACGTGACAGCTCTGGAGTCTTCGTGGTGCTAGAGACTGAACACGCCAGGTCAGTGTTTTGCCACTGGGCTGCACCCCAGCCACGGCTCAAGAAATCAAATGTGGGGGTTGGGAAGATGGCTCAGCAGTTAAGAGCACAGGCTGCTCGTCAGAGAATCCAGGTTCAAATCCCAGCACCCACATGGCAGCTACTAACTGTTCTTTAACTCTACTTCAGAGGAAGCAACACCCTGCTCTGGCCTCTGTAAGCCCTGGGAACACATGCTGCATAGAGATGTCTGCAGGCAAAATACCCATATACATAAAAAGTAAATATAATAAGAATAATAATTTAAAAAGTTAGCGGGGTGTGGTGATGCATGCCTTTAATCCCAGTACTCAGGAGGCAGATGCAGATTGATTTCTATGAGTTCAAGTCAGATCCTGTCTCAAAATAAGTAAGTAAACAAACAAATAAATAAATATTTAAAAAATAAATTAAATGTGGAGTTCTGAGGAGGAACTGAGAGCCAGAGCAAAAGAAAGAAGTGAGCACACACCACACAGATGCCATAAACAGGCCTCCAGAGGCAGTGAAGCAGAGGTGGGTTGCTTCAAATGTAAAGACTGGAGCCTGCTAGAGTAGTGAGTAAACCAACTAGTAGTTGGTTTATAGTCATTTATAGTCAGTCTGGGGCTCGGCGCAAGCCACTTACAAGTCAGCATTCTCTGCAGGACATCTGCAGCAACCTGCAACAGAACACAAATTCACTCAGTAATTCTCAAGCACTCACATGCTGGCAAGACACAAGAGAATGCCTTGTTTTGTTGAAGCAAAATAAGAAATTGCCTGTTAAGATATTCTTCCCTTGGCACCCTCCCACTCTTGGGAGGTCTTTCTCATTTCCTTAATAAATCCAAGTCAGTTCTGCTCATGAATGTGTGTGTGTGTGTGTGTGTGTGTGTGTGTGTGTGTGTGTGAGAGAGAGAGAGAGAGAGAGAGAGAGAGAGAGAGAGAGAGAGAGAGATATGAAGGCAAGCAGGCAGATAGGCAGATTAACTTTACAGAGAGGAAAGCCCTTGATTTGGTCCCTAGCGCATCATAAAACTGAGTGGTGGTGAAGTTATAATCCGTCCAAACACATTGGGAAGTGGAATCAGGAAGATCAGAAGAGGTTCAAGATTAAGGTGGGTGTGGTGGTCCAGTCTTTGAGCCCAGACAGAAGGCAGAGACAGAAGGATCACTGAGTTTGAGGCCAGCCTGGACATAGCGAGTTCAAAGATAGCCAGGCTATGCAGAGAAACCCTGTCTTGAAAAAACAACTCTCCACCCCCCACCCCAAAAAGCCTAATTCTCCTTTCTAATTTTTCCTCCCTACCTGAGGCATCTTCTCAGGCTCCACAGGTCTTGGATCCGAGCTTTCCTGAAAGCCCCTTGAAACTAGTAGTTGCACAAAACCTGAGAAAGAAAAAAACCTCAAAGTAATTTATAAGCATTATGCTCTCCAAACAGCAATGACTCACGGACAAGCCACCTCCACCTCCAGGGAGTACATGTGTGCAGATAGGGAAACTGCTCTTCAGTAGAGCCCCGAGCCCCGGGTGAACTCAGTCACTGTCCACGTGACTGAGGCCCAAGCATTTATCCAACTTCTCAGAGTCAAGTTTATGATAAGGACTTCTTTTCTAAGATTTCATTTCTATTGTATGTGTTTCATTGTTTTGCCTACGCCGACAGAGGTACACCAGGTGAGCTCAATGCCCATAGAGGCCAGAGGAAGAGGGTGTTGGGTACCCTGGATTGGACTTACTGACGGTCGTGAACTGCCATATGGGTTCTGGGAATCAAATGCAGGTTCTCTAGAAGAACAGCTCTTAACCACTGAGCCCTCTCTCCAGCCCAGGACTGTGAGTTTCAGGCCAGTCTAGCTGTCCACCATTAAGTCAAGGACTTGAAAAACTACATGCTTTTTTTTTGCTTTGAGACTAGAGTCTTGAAGCTAAATTGCCTATATCACCTTCAATCTCAGTCCTACCAATCCAATCGGAGTAGCTGTGATTAAACTCTAAACCACTATTCCACAGAAGCATCACATTCTGAGGAATGAGAAAAACAAACTGATTCATAATTTTATATTTGGGGTGGGCCTGAGATAGAGTCTTGCTAAGTAGCCTTGGCTGGCCTGAAGCTCCCTATATGCACTAGGCTGGCTTTGAACTCATAAAGATCTGCCTGCCTCTGCTTCTGGAGTGCTGGGACTAAATGAATGAGCCACCATACCTGGCTGAGCCATAACGTTAAAGATCAGAATAAGGAAGCCTGGAATTGAGGTTTTCTGTCTTATATTTGATTAAACTTTACCTATCTAGGGCAGATTACAGGAAATATAAGCAGTTCATAACACTGGAAAAGTATCCTTGGCAAACAAACAAACATACAACTTGCCAGACATGATGGTTAAATGGCTATAATCCCAGCTTTTTTGGGGGGCGGGGGGTGGGGGGAGAGCTGAGGCAGGATTGCTATGAATATGAGAGGTCAGACTGTTTTTTCTCAAAAAACAAGAGAAGAGCAAGTATGGAGGAACACCCCTTTAATCCCAGCATTCAAGAGGCAGGGGCAGGCAGGTAGATGCCTGAGTTTGAGTCCAGCCTGGTCTACATAACAAGTTCCAGCTAGAGCTACACAGTAAGACCCTGTCTCAAAAGACAAAGAAGAGAAAAAAACCTACAAGCCGCCTGTGCAGAGCACATGCTTCTCCTTTTTGAGTTGGTGTTACGTCTCTGGGATTGCTGGCAGTACAGTCTAGACAGCAGAAGGAGCTGGGGCTACCCAAGAGAACACCCAACTCCTGCCACTCAAGAAAACAGAAGCCCATGGCTGACCTGGCCAGTTCATTTCATGCTAGGCCCTAGGCCCACAGGAACGAAGAGGCTGCTCTAGTCCCCAGGGTCAAAATGAGTAACTGTCCCCAGGACCCCGCCTGCTATGAACATACCAGAAAGCATGGCTTTAGTAGTATCAGAGGGTGGGCAGGAGGCTTCCATCTGCTCACACAGAATGCATAGGTTCCTGAAGAGCCACATGGTCATGGCCTGCATGTCAGGGTGGCTGAGGACACAAAGAACCGAAGTTAGAAATGTTGGCTGATAAGAAGGAGATAGCAGCTGCCAAACCCTGTCCCAAGGACCAAAGTGGACAGGGGCAGGGCACCTGCCTGGCTGCTGCTAACTCAAGAAAAACACCATTTTTAAAAGTTTTCTAATAAGCGGGCA